AGCCGCTCCATCAGTGGTTACACTTGCACAGTTTTTCCATAAAAATTGTTTTTATTAAAGAAGTCATTTACTGTTGCGAATATATCTTCTCCGGTACATCTTTCCTTTAGTGGCTCACAAAAAAGTAGTTATTTGTGTATTTCATTATTGAAACAGAATCTAGCAAATACCGTAAGCTGAGACATGTTAGAAACATCTGTACTTTCATCCAACTGTATAGCAAACCTCCCACACTGCGTAATTTGTTCTAATACTTGTTTCTTCAAATCTTTAGCAATGTTTTCTATGCGTCTTCCAACAGTATTTGCTGACAAAGGAATGCATTTTAGTTTGTCACCTTATTGTTTTCCATGTGTTATTTCATCCATTTTTACCGCAGCAGGAAGAACAAGTGTTTCCCCAATAGTATGTGGCTTTTTGTCTTTCGCTATTAAGTAAGAAACCTCAAAAGAGGCTTCTAAACATTTATCATTAAGTTTAGTGAAATTTTGTAAAGTACAGGATTGAGTATCGCATGACTTTAAACATCGCTGAAAAAATTGTAGAGGTTTGTCTTCATGTTATGGATGTTTAGCTTTTAAATGTCTTGCTAATCGTGATGACTTCATACTATCATTAGCTAATATCTCAAGGCACAATATACACTTAGGGCGAGGTTCATCGTTAACGATAATGGATGTAAATCCATATTTCAAATAGTCTTCTTGATAATTTCAAATTTTTTTGGCCGACTTCTTGTCAGATCTGATTAGATCGTCATTGTTTCTACCTTGTAATGTGGCTGACGAAGAGCTTGTACTAGGAGTAGGAGAACTGTCAGCTCTGCCATTTTCTTGTTGTTTGCTTGTGCTCGCATTATTAGTATTATCTTCAATCCACGGTTTCTTTGCAGGAATCTTTTTAAGCCACTTGTCCATTTTGTGAGGGTTACTTTAGTTAAAACTAGATAATATAATCTGTAAATCCATTTAAGTCCGTAAATCCGGGCACACGTAAACTGCAATACGTCGCAATACGTTGAAAGCGAACGAACGAGTGAGGATGCCACTGTCAACCCCTCCGCATTGTGGAACTCCCACTCTTCCCTCAGGATACCTCGCAGGGCTGGCTCCAGGCACCAGCGTAGGAAGCACGTGCCTGGGGTTGCACACCGTAAGGGGTGGCATTCCAGCCAATCTTAGGGTGGCGCTCCTCCGGCCGCCCTTTTTTTATTTTTCTCCGGCGGTGCTCTTCCTGCTGCGCCCCCCACTGGATCATCTTCCGCACCCCCCACTTTGGAGACCACTGCACTAGATTGCTACACCTAGTCTATACTTGACCATTTCTTCTATTCTGCACAAACCAATCCAGAGCTGCCTGATGTTACCACCCTTGAACTTTGTCCTAGGAAGTCCCTCTGAACATCATGCACACTTACCTCTGTCCGCTAGTGCAGTGTCATGAATACTACTGGCCTCATACTGATTCTCCAGGGCAAGAATGAAGTATACAGTAGCCTTACCTGTGTCCCCAACAGTTGACAAAAGCCACTGATATACTTGCCAATTTGGGGACTTCAAAAAGCAGCTTGCACAGAGGCAGAGAAATTTGTAGCCAGAAGCTGAAATTAAGACTCAGCTACTGGCTGATATTTCTTATTCCCATCACTACTCTTTTCTCATCCACTTTATCAAGGCCCTGAATCAGTAAGTAGCATACACACAGCGCTAGTAGAGCTCTCCCTGGCTTGATACTCATCAAGCTGCTGTGTTTGGGGCCCACCTCACTGGGCCCCATGTGGTTTAAGCCTTTTGAGTCTGAACAGATCCAGGCATTGCTTTGACTGGTCTCTCTAGGCAAACTATCGGGGTACAGATCCTCTGTCTTGCACCCCCTTCTGAAAGCTGGGGCCATGTAGTCCAACTGCCTAGCCCCTAGGATGAGTGCTGACCCCTCAGACTCTTCTGTAGCTTAAGCACACCCTCCCCCAGAACTCCAGCCGTGTGGGCACTCTGGGTTTACAGTTCATCTTTTCAGGGGCATGTGATAGTGAAGCAAACATGCACACACAGACTTTGCACAGAATTCTAAAACACCATTGCATTGTACTTAGATAAAAATGAGAGATCACAGATCTAGGCAAAGTAATATACACAACTGTATGCATTTGCTTGTCTTAGTTTCCTCATCATCGCAGAGTTCTTTGGCCTTAGCAGAACTATCAGAGGTGTCCAGGATCCCCCCTTCTGCACCTTTTCTCTTGAGAATCATGGAGTCTCTCCCTCTCTCTACTCCAAGTCAGCTTCCTTCCTTTCACCTTGGCTGGTTCCATAGTTAAACAGGGCCCCATACTATGAAAGCATGCCTGCCTCATCCTCTTTTCTACTAAAGCTTCCTGTGTCTGAGTCTTCTTTAAACTTCTGCTTTTCATCCCTATTTCTTTGTTCTGCTGCTAGGAATTGTCCACTCTCCACTTCCCCAGTACCCTATAGAAAAACTTAGTTGCATTGGTTTCCCTGGGCTTTCAGCCAAACCATTGTCCGAAAGTGTTTCCACCTGAACAAGCAACCAATAAAGGTCTAATGACCTACCATTGTCTCTGGTCTGTAGCTGGTTCTACAGCCCTGATAACAGATGGCTGTCTCCACATCCAGTGCTGTATGCAAGGATACAATAAGTTCATAACAATTTCATAGCATCAACCAGAAGTCATAAATTGTACTGTTACTTGATCTTGCAGTCTCATTCTTGGGTTAGCATAAAAACAGGTAGAATCTCTATAATGATTACCTGGGCATAGCTCAGTAACAGCAGAACATATATTATTACTGGAAGAGCAGACAGTAGGAGTTCCCCTCCTGCAGCTAGTGCTGACTCCAAAAAACACATTCACTTTTCTCCAATCCCTAGGCAGAAGGACCTTACTTGATCCCACTTACTTGGTCAGGGGACCTTGCCTTTTAGATAGGCAGGAAACACACCCTTTAGGGGATGTCTATGGATGTGCCCTTCCACTCCCAACTCTTAGCCAGCACAGTAACTCAGGTCCAGTACATAAACTGATTCTCCAAATCATCACAGTAAGCTATTTAAACATGTGCCTAGTTTTACACAATCTGACTAGTATGTAAAATTAATCATATATGTAATTGTTTTCAGGATCAGGGTCTTCAAACGTTCTGAGATGTGGTTCGGCAATTAGCTCCCTTTACTTTCTATCATACCCCTGATTTTTAAAATGTTAATTTAATATTTTTGTAGTTTCTTAAAATATCAAGTAAACTTTTAGTCCATTGACTTTTGTCCTAATAATATATCATGGTTTAAAAAATAGTGATAATACAGAATGGATCCTAAATACAAAACCATCCCATTATGAAAGAATAAGCTATTAAAAATACCTATCATGGTATCATAAAGTAGTACGCTAATCAAATATATTTTTTCACATGTCAATTAAATGTTTCATAGTGCTATATTAGTTGACAAAACAAAATTAAAATTTTTGCCAAAATTGCAAAGCTGAGCTTCTCAGTGACTGCACTCATAAAATATACACTCAGTATGCCAGCTTTCTTTGCACAGTATGGATAACATAGTATGGCCACATCAAGTGTTTACAAATCATGAATCAGGCTCCCCAAAATCATGAGTTTAAAAAAATGCTCTTTTGTGCTCTTTTTATTTGCCTTCTGGTTTTCGAGCCTTAACATTTCATTTTTTTTTCAAGGTTTTCTCTGTAACCATGATGATTGGAACCCTTTTAAAAAAATGAAAACTAAGATTCTCATGTAATCACGTCTCCAGGAGTTGGGGCTTTAAGAAAAACACCAAATATTGTTAAACTTGTGATAAAAATTGTGAGAGCTGGCAACAATGTGCTGCTTATGCCTGCAATTACCTGATTTAGGTATGGAAATCTGGGATCTGCAAGTGCAATTGGTGTGTGTGTATTAGAGAGATCCATTTATTTTAACAGGAGTGCACAGTACTGTTAAAAAAATGCAACTAGCCCATGCCCATTTTTGCAGAACCCATTGAACCCAGGGGCTATTTTTTCAATATGATGCAACGGATATGGGAAAATTATTTTCAGTAGCCACTTGAGAGTTTTTCCTTAGGGCAAAATGTGCATGTGCAAATTGTTATTGTTATTTTGTAGGACTCAATGGGGCATATGTGTATTTGTAAAGTTTCAGCTACTTTAGCAGTGGTTTGTCAAGGCATAGTCAGTTTAACAATCTATATGGAGAAATAATTAAATTAAACATCTGCAATCCATGGCTCATGGACTTTTAAACAACTAATTGAAGTCACGTTTTTTAGTGTATTCATAAGCAGGAAAGGAATTTCTTGAAAACCCGATTGTGAAAAACATACCACCTTCTGGAGAATGCGGGCATCGATCCCGCTACCTCTCGCATGCTAAGCGAGCGCTCTACCATTTGAGCTAATTCCCCAGACCATTAAGCACTGTCTCAGCCACTCACACATAAGCAACCCCCTCATCGCGTGATCTACTCCTTTCCCCCTGATTCCATGAGCAGCAAGTTGTTGTCAGGCAGTTTCGCTACCTCCCTTCTCTGCTGAGGGCGTGGTTTCTTCCGTTGGCCAATGGGAAAGGGCGATGGGCGAGACTAGTTTTGTGTTTGCGGCCCTCGGCTTCCATCCCGCTCTCTGTGTACCCCCATTGGTCGCACATCGGTCTGAGTCTTTTACCAGCTGATTGGTCTAACCCGGTTTATTTTTAAACTGTACTCGCGGCTCTGATTGGGTAAAAAACACGCCTGTCACCGTGACGTTAAGCTGTTGCTAAGGCGTGAAGGTGGGAACCAGAGGGGCCCACCCAGATGCCCTGATTGGCCTTCAGGATCCCGTTCAGCCCGCCCTCAATCCCCATGTAGTCCACTGGTGCTGTCGTTCATATGTTATTGGCGGCCAAAGGAAAGCCAATGGGAGACGGAATTTATGCTATTGTCCAATGGAAGTGTGATCGGTGGGGACCTGGGCGTGTCAGGGAAGTGTGATTGGCAGGCGAGGAGGGGGAGCGAAGGAGAGCTCATAGGGTCTGATATGTCTGCCATCTTGAAGTGTCGGTGATGGTGGCGAGCGCTCGCTTTCCCGTCTGAGCCGAGGCAGACCGGGACCCGTGACGGGGAGACGCGCTCGCCGAGGTAGGGAGATCCGGGGGCCCCCGGCCTGAGTCAACTACCGCCGGGGGTTATTCCCCCTTCCTGACGCTCTGCTCCAATGCACGGGCCCGGTGAGCGCTCTCCTCCCCCCGCCCTGCGCAGGGGCTGGGGGGGGGGGCGTCTTCCTGTTCCCCGGAGTCTGCGGGCTGGTCTTTGAGGCCTCCTCCCGCGATTGGGGGCCGTTTCCCGCCCCTCTCCCCGGTTTGCGCCTGAGGGGGGGGGGCGGCCTTGTTTGCTCGCTTCCCGCCCCTAGCAGCGGCCTGGCTGAGTTGTTTTGCTTCCTGTGTAATAGGACTGTGTCGACCCCCTCTCCCCCCAAGTCCCAGGTCATGCCTTGGGCGTCACTGAGCGTGGGGTGGGGGCTTCCTAGGGTACCTTTTCCTCTGCGTCCCTCATATGCCTCGTTGGAGGGGCACTGACTTTACCCCCATATGGCTGCATGTGCGACCCCCCCCGCCCCCACTTGCTTTCCAGCGATACTCAGAGGGAGGTACTGAATCACTAGAGACCCGGTGTTACTTTTACCGCCTGTTGCCTCAGTTAAAGGGATCCAGCTGTGTTCTCTCTGCTTGTCTTCTTACTACAGCTCTTCTCTCAAATTACTAGTTAGAACTGGGCGTGTTAGTTTGAGTTGCGGTCTTTCTGCGAACACCTGAACAACCTTTGAGCTTTGTCTCGAGGAAGGTGCGTAAAGGCCTGTCTCCACAGCGTAGCCAGCTCCCTGAGTCAGTCTATGTGTCCCAAGCCTGCAGACGCATGTTTCCTCGCTGAGTTGCACAGGTCAGGTGTGGATTTCATCTCTGGGTCAGGGATAGCTGCACAAGATAGATGTTGAAGTTGGGTAGGAGGAGGTGTGTTGTTATAACTGTCTTATGGGGTGTCATAGGATTTTAACATCTATTTTCCTTAGTACAAATGTCTTTATTATTCAACTAGCAGAATCCCTGAGTAATGCTGTTTTTTAATGGGCCCATAAACATTATTTTAAACCCCTCAAAATAAGAAACTTTACTTTCTTATTGTTTTGGTTCTTAGTAATTGTTGGGAAACTAGATGAATTATCAGAGGGACACTGTCAGGTTAAAAGAACAGGAGTACTTGTGGCACCTTAGAGACTAACAAATTTATTAGAGCATAAGCTTTCGTGGGCTACAGCCCACGTCTTCAGATGCATTATGCTGTAATAAATTTGTTAGTCTCTAAGGTGCCACAAGTACTCCTGTTCTTTTTACGGATACAGACTAACAGGGCTGCTACTCTGAAACCTGTCAGGTTAAAGTGTTCTTTCTAAAAGCATTCCGAATGCTCCTTAATTTGAAACTTGGTTTCCTCTTTGCTGTTATGCTCCTCAGTTTGGACAGTGAAAACAGACTAGTTATTGCTCTTATTCACACTTAATTTTGCTCTTTGTGTTTTAAATTAGTGCCTCAGTGGTTCATGTGCTCATTCTTAAAATCGTGGCAACATTTTGGCTAGTTCTAACTTAAAAAAAAAAAAAACCCTTGGGTTTTTAGTTCTCTTACAAAAAGTGAATTTTAGGCTGTACTGAGCATGACAGTGTTTCCCTTTTAATTTTGACCTTTTCTTTAGTGCCTCAGAGTGCTTTCTGAGTAGAAAAGTGAATTGGAGCTCCAAGACTGTCCCATGATGTGCCTGGAGATTAGTATAGATGGGTATAAAAAGTAAGAAATAAACCTTTTCAAAATACCTGATTCTTTGGTATTATGTTGGAACTGTTTGGGATGTGTAACCAGTGAAAGCTGTTATAGAAGGCTTAGCTCTCTTCTGAGTAGATGTTAACTGGGTAAAGGAAACATGCCTCTACTCCTGGAACTTACTAGTTACAGAAAAGTTTCTGGATGCTGTTAGCTTAAAAATCAGAGGTTAAAACCTTTAACAGTGTTACTCTTGTTGAATCTTGAATGGAAGGAATTCTGATTATTCTTTACTATTTATGCTCTTCATTTACTTGTAAAACTAATTTTTCATTGATAAAAAATACTTTCAAGTTCACTGTTGTGTTTGAATTGCAAACACTGCATGAGCGCTTGTTTCTACTGGAATGTTAAAGCTAGGGAAAGGTCTCTAGCATTCTTTTTTAAAGGTATCAATTGATATTTTTTTCATAAAATATACTTTATAATGTATGTGTATGCATGATCATTTGGCTGTACATAATTTATTTGCCACCTAATAAGATTTGGATTGGAGTTGCAGTTTTAAAACTGAAGGGAATCTTAAAATTGTTCATTGGTGTCTAATTCTTTTCTTGTAACTACCAGATCCTTCAATACATAGTGTCTTTAAGGGGGGGGCTCTGCTCAGGCACAGTAGGCCACCTGCATGTTACGCATTGTAGGATTGGGGTGTAAATCACAAACATGTTTTTAGAAATTCAAGGAAAAAATAAGGAATCTCTTTATACGAGTGATTTCTTTCCTGTATCTGTAAGGCTCCTTGAACTTGTATGTTCATTTTGCAAAAAACGATAATTTGTGTATGAAATAACAGGGTGGATTAGTGATTTAAATCAAATTCATTTAAATCACTAGTCAGGAAGACTCAATTTAATCATGGATTTCTACATAAAAGTGCATTCTTGTTGGTTGTTATAACCTTAATATATATTCTTCACAATTCAGAGACAGATGTAGGTTTTATTTTTAGAAGGTACACACTATACATTTTTAAAGTGATTTATTTTGAAAACTTTTCAGATTAGTTTTACAGCTATATCAGAAAATGAATGATTGGTTATTTCATTTACCAAAGGTAATTGAAGCAGATAGTTCACCTCCCAATGACTTCATAAATATCTCCAATTCAACAGGTTAATCATTAATATTTGGAGGATTTTCTTGCCTGCTGTATTAGGAAGAGAACATCACCAGACAGACATTTAAATTGTTTTATTTAACTAAAACAATGATGTTATGTATTCTGGATTTTTTTCCTTCAACAGCAAACATATAATATTATAACAAAACAAGCATATGAATTTTTGAATTTAGTTAAACATTCAAGTTTTTTAAAATGGGGCTTGTTTTTGTTAATATTGTTTTTAACTAAAATAGTTAAATAAAATATTAAAAAAAACCCAAAAATTAAATCGACTATGTCAGTCAGGTCAATATGAGAAACTTGGCTCCTGCAGCTAACTCAGTCCTCTTACCTTCATTTTCCTGTTTGTTCCTAATCTGGAAAGGAAAAACAAGCTTTCCTGCTTTTTCAGGTCCCAAACGATTTCTCAATTTGGAATGAATTAGTCCAAAGGGAAAAAAATATTCTTCCAACACCGGCAGAAGAAGCGACTGCTGTTAAAAGTGAAATCATCACTTCAACAGTCTCTGAATCCAAGTGCTTAAGTGACTTCCACCAGTTCACTGGGGTGACTTTCTTTAGAACATCATCAGCAAACATATATTTCTTGAATGGTTCTTATTCCCAAACTGGGTCTCTTTTACAGCCTGCTGCCATTATAGGTTTTCCCTTCTAGTGAGAAAATGGTATGGTAGATCTCAAATCAATGAAGGCTACATTCAGAAAGACCTCAAGACTTCTGGAATTTGCCGCTCAAACAGTTTCACTTTTGTTTCTACTGCCTGTCCCTCCCTTCTCACATTTATCTCCAGAGTTGTTCTCCTTGTCCATATCTATTCCGCCCCAACAATCTATTCATTAAACTTTTTGAAACTTTGCACTTTTAGAGAGAGGTAAGGGATTGACTCTGTGTACACAAATTTGCAGAGGGACAATAGGATTTAGGTCTGTTATTTCTCACCTCTCTATTTATTTAAAAACATTTTTGCTGTTAACAAGCATGTTATCTCTGGAGAACAAATCCACAGTTTGAGAACTGCAAAACTAAGCATCTCTGATGGTATCTTCTAGACCAGTTGTAGGCAACCTATGGGGATGCAAGCTGATTTTCAGTGGCACTCACACTGCCTGGGTCCTGGCCACTGGTCTGTGGGGCTCTGCATTTTCATTTAATTTTAAATGAAGCTTCTTAAACATTTGAAAAACTTTATTTGCTTTACATACAACGATAGTTTAGTTATATATTCTAGACCAGAGGTCGGCAAACTTTCAGAAGTGGTGTGCCGCGTCTTCATTTAATCACTCTAATTTAAGGTCTCGAATGCCAGTAATATATTTTAACGTTTTTAGAAGGTCGCTTTCTATAAGTCTATAATATATAACTAAACTATCGTATGTAAAGTAAATAAGTTTTAAAAATGTTTAAGAAGCTTCCATTTAAAATTTAATTAAAATGCAGAGCCCCCCAGACTGGTGGCCAGGACCCAGGCAGTGTGAGTGCCACTGAAAATCTTCTTGCGTGCCGCAGATTGCCTACCCCTGTTATAGACTTATAGAAAGAGCTTCTAAAAACATTAAAATGTATTACTGGCAAGCAAAACCTTTAAATTAGAGGTTGCTAACCCCTGTTCTAGACTGAGCATGGAGTCCCATTCAGTAGATAGAAAGATTAACCTAAATAATCTATACGGAAGCCCCCGGAATCCCATAAGATTGGGGTCTCTAATCCATGAACTGTTGGAACTCGTTTACAAAACTTTTCTTAAACATTACACGAATATATTATCTCATACTATAGAATTAGAATTTATAATCCCTATTCCATGATGAGACATTATAACTCAGATATATCTTAATTAAAACTATCTTTAGATAGCTTTTTTCCTCAAACATTTTATCAAAAAATCTGATTTAAATAAAAAAATTGGATTTTTTTTTAAAGTCATTGATTTTTATTCACCCTGTGAAATAATGACTTGTGCTACCGGCGTGGTTAAAGTCATTTTTGCCTGTAACACTGCAGTAAAATTTTATTTCAGCTAAAAATGACAGTCACTGTAGAGTTTAGGTTAGAGATCCTTAAACTTCAGGAAAACATCCAGTTAAGCTAAAACATGTGAGATCAGGAATTTGGTGAAAGAGCTTTTTAGTCTCAAATGCTA